AAAAAGGCGGGACTATAGAGAAAACAGACATAATACAGAGGAACATGGTGGAATGTGTGCTGTGAAAAACCTCAGGCAACAGGCCTAGAAATGGAAACATTACCTTTATGATAACATAAGAGTCAAGGCTTTCTTTGGGTGATATCTTTAAGTGAACAAACTGCATAGTTGAGACAGAGTTAGACAAGTTTTTGAACACTCAATGAAGAGTACATTTTCACCAGGCCAATGTAGGATCAATGTTTTCGACAATGGAAGTGCTTTGATTTACAGCAGTTCTAGGTCCTCTCTCTCTCTTTCTTGCTCTCTCTCTCTTCTGCTCTTTTCTGTTTAACTTTTTAAAACTATTTCCTCGTGTCTCTTGGCAGAGGGAAGGGTCCTTGTAGGTTCTGTGGAAAATGAATCCCTCCTTTTTCTGCCCAGTTGCATTGATGCTGTTAACAAAAATATATCCTTTCTTCAGTATATGGATCAACCGAGAGAGTGCTCTAATTCACTGAGCACCATTTCCTAGGATTCCAGTTTGCAAAGGCCTTCATGCAGTCAGAGTGTGTAGGATAGCATTTTAACTTACCTATTTTTTTTTTAAATGAACAAAATATCTATCTTTTTAGTTGAGCAAAACTGTTTAATGAGAACAAAACAAAAAGCATCTTTAAATCCCTTCCCTTCTTAGTGGTACCCAGTACACCCTTTTTTCCCTAAGAATGCTTTAGAGAATCTAAGTTTGTAATCTTTTTATCATATTACATTTATAAGTGATATTTCGGAGGTGAAAAGAATAAATGCAGTGTATTATCAATACATAAATGTGAAAATGGGTATTAATCACCTTTTGTGTAAATTACAGAATAGAAGGTACCTAGTGAGATAAAAAGATGCCTCTCACTGCAAGAGTATATTAGAAAGAGAATATACCCTCATTATTATTTCTGTAAGTGTAAAGGTTCTGTATAGTTGCAAGTGATTAGGGTGACCAACAATTTGCCACTCAAAAAGAGGAGATTGAGCTTGGGGAGGAGCCAAAGGGCTTAAGGATATTCAAGTTATATTTGCAGACCAATTCCCTGAGATCCCTTAGGGATAATGGAAAAGAGGAACATTTTGTAGAGTGCATACTAAAAAGTTAGTCTTTGTTTCCTATAGAAATACAACTCATTGCTAACTTCAGTAGATGATTCTCTTTGGAGTTTGGTCCAAAACAATGAATCTAGAAGCACAGCAGTAGCCAACAGAACTTGCTTTTAGCTGGGTGTCTCCATTTTGACTGCACTCTTGACTTGCATCATCACGTGGTGCCAGTTGGAAGCAGAAATTCATATTTTATGCTGTTCCCCAAGTCAGTAACTTTTCAAGTCTAATGCCATATTTAGAAAAAACTCTAACAAATGTGCAGTATCCCATTTATTATGAAGAAAATGCTTGAGTCACCCTGCACTGTTAGGAAGAAAAACATTTTTTTTCATCTCGAGTTTCTAGGATTCCTTGTAATCCCTGCATATTTATAGGATTTCTGCTGGGTATAAAAGCTGGAAGATAATTTCCTTAACAACAAATTTCATTTTTCTCCTGCAGATCTGCTGTACAGTATACTGTGTTATACCAGTCTGGTTCCTTCTTGGCACAGCAGACACTAAGAATCAGAGAACGAGGTTTTTCTGCCACCAGATCACTAACCGAGACCTTCCTACTCTTCTCCTCAGTTTTTTGTTCTGCTTCCTTCAACAGTGGACACATTCCTGCCAGGCTTTGTGCTGCCATCTAATTTGCACAGCAGGATCTACAAGACTGAACAGATGGCTGGCCTCAGTCAGGGCAAGAAGACCATAACATGTGCCAAGTGCTTGGCCTCATTTCAGCCAAGCAGTGTTGTATTTTTTTGTCCCCATTGCAACAAGGGTCCCATGTGCTCTGGTAGTGCTGTGTTAGGGACATCTGACTTATCATCCAATGGCAGTACAAGCTCCCATGATGACTCGTTGCCTCATCAGTCAAAGGAACAAGTGTCAGTTGTAGCAGAGGTGAGCAGATTGGGTTCATATACAACATTCCTCTCCGTGCAGTTCTCAAATTTGTATTCAGACTAGTTATTTCTTCTTATTCCACAATGATTACTGCTCATTTCTGCTCAGAATAACAAGAACTATATTTCCCCCTATGCCCTCATAAATGTTGTATAATAGAATGGCCTAGATTCTGACTAAATTCTAAAATCTACTCAGAGTTTTTCTGAAGGCTTTCACTTAGTAATGCTGCACAAAACTATTTTCAGTGCTTACAAACATCCTGGTTCTCTAGAAACTGTGGATAACAGGGGCAGGTTATCATACTCTATGATTGACTGTAAGTACATGGGACAGTTTTATGGAGGGCTGTTGTTTTAAAAAAAATCTTACTGCTTAATAGAAAGGTTCATGAACAAATATGTCTAAGCCAGTGGTCTCCAACCTTTTTTAAGTAGGAGATCACCTTTGGCATTTAAAAGCAACGCAAGATCTACCGTGTGCCACTGCCACCTACCCCCCCTGCCCAGCCGGTAAGTGTGTAGGGAGGGATAGGAGGGGTGCAGATCGAGACAGAGGGAGACAAAATTATTTGGGGGCACGTTCCCCCCAGCAGGTAAGTCCCACCCATCTGGGGCCTCACTCAACTTACCCCTGCTCCTGCCTATGTGGCACTGTCTCTCACCGCAGGGGCCTCAATCTAGCCCCCCGCTGCTTCCCTCCCCCATGGACTGACTTGCTGGACTGGGGCGTGTGTGTGCATGCATATGGGCACTCAGCCCCCCACCCCAACCTCAGATAGACTCCAAGAGGCTCTGAGATCTACCGTAAGAGGCTCTGAGATCTATTGGTGGATCAAGATCCACTGGTTGGAGACCACTGGTCTAAACTACTAAAAAGTGTAGTCTTCATTTTTTTTGAGAACATGTAGTATTAAGGTTTCTCAAAAGACACCCGTAGGAAACATAATACATTGACTTACTGTTTTAAATACTTTAACAATTGTAAAATGGTTTCTAAGTTCCAAGTTATTAATGTTCAGATGCGTATTAAAGATTGTACTGTGCGTATATAGAAATATACATTTAAAACCTAAGTTGTAAATCAATGATGAGGAAGTGTATGTTCTAAGGGGCTCTCTTTCAAGCGGTTGGCCAAAGAATTCTAGAAGTAGTTTGTTTTTTAAATAACTTTTAAAAATAACTTTTAAATAATTTTTTTAAATAACTGTTTTAATTAACATTTTGCTGTTTGAAATGTAGCTAGTAGATTATGTAAGGGGGAAAAAGTTATACAAAATGATGCAAAATCCATACACTAACCAGTAGTGTCCAACTTTGTGGCCCCATGGGTTGGATGAGTGGTGTAGGATCGGTCCATGGGCTGGATCCCGCATGAGATCAGCATGTGTGGTTGGTCTATGGGTGTGATCCAATACCTGGGTCTGACCCTGCACGTCCATATCTGTCATGTGCTCTCACAGTCTGGCGAACCACGTGAGGCCATGTTATCCAGCCCATGGGGTTCCCCACAGTTCCAGTAATTTAGTAGCGGGGAGTGGCAATTAACACTACCACTGTTTTCCTTGAAGTCAAATTTTCAGACCCTTGGGGAGCCCTGCAGGCCAGATGTCTTGGCTCTGCAGGCTGGATTTGGCCCGCAGGCTGGAAGCTGAGCACCTCTATACTCATTTAAGCACTTAGCCTAAAGGATCCTCATTTTGGCACTTAGCTCTGGCTTCAGTGAAATGCTAACATTCTTTGCTGAGTAGATGTGTTTTGTTGAATCATCCCCTGAATAGGGATGGATTTGAGTGTATGTTAGGTGCTTTGCTGAACTAAAATCCTATATCAGTGTGGCCTGATTTTTGGAAGTGGTGAGTACCAACAAATTCCATTGAAGTCATTGGCACGGCAGCATTCAGAACATTTTGAAAATTAGGCTTTTGATGCAGGCTGGTTTGAAAATGATGGGCAGCTTTCTCACCCTCTAATATCCTTCAGTTCTAGCATACATAGGTGATATAGCAGTATGTAAATAGTAATTATTGCACATTATAACAATAGTAGGTGAAAAAAAATAGAAGTTTATTTTAAGTTACTTTTTAATTTCTCTTTAGTTCATTCTTACTGATGTATAGACTTTTTATTTGGTATTGTTCTTGAAACAGTTAATGTATGGACTGGAGACATGCTTACCTTAGATCATAATCTCCTCTCTAATATTGTAGTCTGTAAGATCATATAGTCACAACCTTTTAAAAGCTTCAGGTGAAGGAGTTTGTATTAAATATACATCTGAAAATAATATATTTGAAAAAAAGGACTTAAAACTTAAATTTCAGAACAAAATAAATCATCTGGGATAGTAACATAAATGGGTCCACTTTAAAACAGCACTTTCAAATAGATGGGTACAAATTAAATACCATCTTAAATCAGTCACATATGAGCATACTGTCAATGACTTGTCTTCATGAATTATAGTAAGTAGGGGACCAAAATGGGAGAAGTGTTAATAAGAAAGCTAAAAGAGGTTCAGCCTCAGTTATTCCCTCACTCTTAATACTGTACAATCATCTCTGTTTCTTTTAGCAATTTTATATATGGTAGACATATAGATGACTATTAAGTCACTGTCATATAAAAAATATCCAATTGTAGGCCTGTCAGAAGATATGTGATGCTTGATAATGCATGAGGAAATTACTTTAAAATGGCAATCATCTTCTAAAATATAAGAAGCACTTTCTCTTCTCCTTTGCTTTGTTTCATTCAGCATCATATTCATAGAACATTACTTTATTACAGATGGTTTTATAACAAAAAATTTCCTCAATTATAGTCACAATGTTTCATTCCTAGACCCCAGTTATCACAAATAATTATTCTTTACTTATGACAAGCTTGTCTGTGATGTGTGATCTCCTAATATCCAAATAAGTTGGAGTTGCTAGCATCTAAAGATGTTTCAACTGAATCTATACTGGGAAAGTTGGTAAGCATTCAGAAGACCGTGTAGTCTAAAACCACCATTTATCCTTAGTTTTCTCCTGTTCTCTTTTGATTTATTCCATGTGTTCTGTGTCAAAGAATTTCTGTGTTCCTGACACACAACCTCTTTAAATTCCTCTGACAGTGGGGGTGACTCTTCATTTATACTCCCATTTATTAGAACACTTACAAATCAGTTTAACTTTATATCTATGAACACTGCATAACTTCAAGCAGATGAGTAGTGTGATTACCTTCAGTGGGAGTACTAGAATGCTTATAGCTCAGTAGGTAAGTGTTATGTTCAATGGGGCTATAGCCATTAAGTTCTAATACCTGCTGTCTCACACTCACACAATTTAAATGCGTCATCTGTACCATCCTTGAAAGCGAGATGTGGTTTCTGAGAATCTAAGTGATATGATTTCTAATATGTGTAGTAAGTAAATTGTGCATAGGGGTACTGTTGTATTAAATGTGGCCGTTTCAGGTTTTTCAGGCATTTAAGTCTAATTCCTCCTCTTTGTAAACAGATACAACTCAGTTGACTTTGGAATAGTTCCTGTTTACATTAAGGGAGAACAGAATAGAATAGGAGTAATGAAGATCTGCAAAGACAAAATCATTTACATAATTCTGGTATAGTTTTTTTTTTTTTGCCCCTCAATTTGCCGAATTTCAACTTGGGGGGGGCTACCAAATTGATTTTGATGGAGCCTCTAGATTTTGCCCTACATCAAACTTTTACACATGTGATTAATTGTATTATATATCTGATATTAGATGATGCAATGATAAACCGCATAAAGATTTTTAAAATAGCAAATTCTATTTTAATTTCATGCTTTTTATTTTTTGTATAAAGATGCCAAAATCAGAACAAGTAGAACCTTATAGAAAAATGCTCACCCAAGTGACTCGCAGCAGTAGTGCAGAATCTAAAGTTCCTCACACACGAATAGATGATGGAGCTGCTATTCAGGTATGTGGCCATTTTTATCATTAACAGCAGCCTTCTGAACCCTAGGTTTAATTGCGCTGTATCAGCAGATAGAGACATTTAGCTATGGATGTATAAAATTTAATTTTTTCTAGGACTTCCAGCTGCTGCTTTTCCCCCAGTAGAACATTTTTGGCATGTCAGCATCTTCATTAAATGTATTGCAGCAGTTTTTCACGCCCAAGAAACCTAAGTCCTGAAACAGACTGTCTATTTTAAGGCTTTTGTTCACTATATTGAACTAACCAGGAACCAGATTCCCACATTCAGGAGTCCAGATTGTTTTCATTCTCTGCCTGTGTAACAAGGGTGGGAGGCAGGAGGGGGAAAGTTATTTCCCTAGCTGTAAATGAAAAGAAGGCAGAAACAAATTAATAAAAGATATTTGTCTTTCAGCAGTATTAATGCTTGTGGCTACTCTCTGTAAATACATTGAAATTATCATGACAGAATCTTAAGAAATAAGAAAAGTCTCACCTAAAAAATAAGATTTGGCAGTAGGAAAAAATCACAAAAAACAAATTCAGTTGTCTTTCCTTTTCATTTCTTCTTTAAAGGTGCAAAACTTCTGTTAAAGTGCTCAAAATCTCCAGTAATTAACAACCTGATGCTTATTGAAATCAGCGGAACGATTTTTGCTGATTCCAGTGTGCATTAAGTAACAGACACCCATGCTATATAGGGGTGGGCAAAATACAGCCGATGGGCTGGAACTGGCCCGCGAGGCCATTCTATCTGGCCTGTGGGGCCCCTAAAAAAAAGTGTAGAAAATTAATATTTTTCTGTCCTTGGTTCCTGTCAAAAATGACAGGAACCAAAGGCAGTAGAACCCAAGGGAAGCCCGGCGGGCTCCAACAACAGTGGGGCCTGCCCAGCCCTGCCCCCCAGCCGGAAGCCCCAGCTATGGTTTCTGGGCTGGGAGCACGTGGCTGCTGCGGTGCAGGAAGCTCAGGTAAGTAGGGGTGACCCCAGGCAAGGAAGGAGTGTGTGTGTGGGGGGGAAAGCGGCCCCTCCCCGCCCACGCCCGGTGCCCTGCACTACAGCTGCTTGCAGCCTGCATGCGGCTGTCTGTGCCTGCTCTGGACAACCCCATGTGGGCCATGAGCACCTGCGGCGGGGGGTGGGGGAGGGGCTGCTTCCCCCCCATGCTCAGGTTTTCCCTGGGCTCCTTCCCTGCATGGAGAAAAGCAGCCCCTCACCTGCCCCATGGCTGGCGCCCCGTGCTGCAGGCCTTCGCAGCCTGCACGGGGCTGTCCAGAGCAGGCACAGGCAGTCCCAGACAGTCTGTGAGCAGCTGTAGCATGGGGTGCCGGGCATGGGGCAGGGAGCGGCTGCTTTTTCCCCTCCTCCCCCAGGCTGGCAGTGGGGTGGGTTACAAGCTGCTGCTGAGTACAGGGAAAAGTGACCCCTCGCGCGCCCCATTGCCAGCGCCCCACGCTGCAACCACCTGCTGCCTGCATGAGGCTGCCTGTGCCTGCTCCAGCCAGCCACGCACAGGCTGCAACTGCCTGCAGCGCGGGGCCCTGGCCATGGGGCAGGCGAGGGGCCGCTTTTCCCCGTGCTCAGCACCAGCCTCTTCCCTGCTGGCAAGCAGGGAGTCGGGTCTGTGTGCTGCCCCCGCCTGTACTGCGGGGCTGGGGGGCACTGGGTGTGAGTGGGTGGGGAGCCAGTGGGAGCACAGGGCCCACACTGGTGCCCCCGGGCCAGTGCCGGTGAGGCCCAGAGCAGGGTGGCAGGAGCGTGGGGTCCCAGCTGGCGTGGGCTCTATGGAGCCAGGCCACCTCCCCCCTCCTGGCTGGTGCATTCCAGCCTGGCTCCACAGACCCCTGCTGTCCTGTGCCCTGCTCTGGGCCCCACCAGTGCAGGCCCTGGGACGTTGGTCCCAAGACATTGGGACGTTGGTCCCAAGATGGTGACCAGAGCGGGGCACCTGTCAAGGGGTGGGCCTACTCATGCGGCCCTCGACAGCCTGCCAAAACTGGGTAAGCAGCCCTCCGCCCAAAATAATTGCCTGCCCCTGTGCTATACATATGCAGATATACAAATAAAAAATTTGTGAGGTCTGGATTATTTTAAATATTTTAAACATGTACCTTACCTATTCGTTTGAGATGCTGATCAACATTATAATAACGTAATTCTTTGGAATTTGAGATGGAAAAATCATCCTACAACCTACATAATTCATCAGCAGCATTCTTATACCTTGTCACACACCATGACTGAAACAGATATTCTGTATAAGAGTCTTTATATGTGGGCAGGACTGATAATCTCCTATAAAAGAACATCTTTTAAATATTCCACCCATAATGTATATACTTTTAACAGCAGCAATTACATTTTGCTGTTGAAGAATTTAAAATCACATTTCTTCTCTGATTCTCTGTTCTTTTAGCAAATCTATTCTTTTGGAAGGAAACTAGGACAAGGCAGCTTTGGAGTGGTTATTGAAGTGAGGCACAAGGAAACTGGCAAAAAATGGGCAATCAAAAAAGTGAACAGAGAAAAGGTAAATATATAAATCCATGGTGTATTTTAATTCCTTCTTGCTTTTTTAGGATGATTCTTTTTTTTAACTGGTCATTATCTGAACATTATGGTATCTTTTTGCATTCAAACCTCTTACTGCAGTCCACATATGCATTTACTCTCACTGTTTAATGTTTATTCTCGCTACCACTTGCTAGTGTTTTCTTATATGAGTTCCATCAAGTTTTAATGATTAAACACACAGGCTGGATCCAGACATGTAGGCACATTAATGTCATACAAGTGGCACATTAATCAGTGTTCAGCCAGGGCAAAATTTGTACCAGGATTTCCCAGTAGCAACCCCTCCCCCCTCCCTGGAAAAAACATGGTGCAAAGTGGTGAATGCCAGGACAAATGCAGAGATGGAGGAGCAGGCAGCCAGGGCTGAGGCACCTGGTACCCCAGCCAGCCACTTCTGGGTTGGCTGGGGTGCAGGGTGCCTCAAGATGGGGGAGCAGGCAGCCCTGGGCTGTCCGTTCCCTTGTCTCCACATGCCTCAATGCGGAGGCACTGAAGTAAAGCCTCTAGGCTGAGGCACGTGGAGACAGGGGAGCAGACAGCCTGAGGCTGCCTGCTCCCCTATCTTGAGGTCCACTGTACCTGGGAGCTCCCCAGCTGGCCAGGGCACAGGGTGCCTTAGCACAGGGGATACATAACCCCAGCTGAGATACCTTGTGCCCCAGCGAGTCCCCCCTCCCACCCTCTTCCCCCTGCAGCATGTGGAGCAATGGGACAGTGTGTCCTGGTGCAAAGCACATGGGCAGGGTCATGTATTGGGGCACAAAGTACTGGTACAAATTTGTGCTGCTACTGTATATGCTGCGGCAAAGGCATGCCCCTGCTTGTGTGGACATGGCCATAGAGTCCAACCTTGTCAGTTTGGATTATTATTCTTTCATGAAGTTGTAATTGATTAAAAAGTTTGCAGGATCAGCCTCTTAGTTATGTAAATCTGTTTAAAGAATGTCAGATGTTAGTTTAATGTATCATTTCTAGATTCTATTTCTTTTTGCTAATGAATTTATTACAATCCTAAAAGAAGATTAATGAAGTTTTACATTAAAACAACATAGACATAGTCTAAATACTTGCATGACTAGTTACACCCAGTGACAAACCATTTTTTGGCTGCATGATAGACCCTGTAAAGGCAAGATACTATAAAATCTCTAGTGGCTGTGTTATTTTGCCTACCCATTGGCCCAAATTAACAATTAGTGCTGCATTATTACATCATAGACTTACTGTTATCAACTTGCTAAACTAACTGGCAATTATTATTTATCTTTAGTTAAGTTGCTACAAATAGTTACTGAACTTCTAATCTATTTTTATCGCACAAGAGGAATAGCATGCTTGGGTCTGATTGTACTTGGATGGGAGACTTCCAAGAAGAGTAGTTTGTAGTCTTTTCATCTACATTGTTACTATACCAAAGCTCAACATGCTGTTAAGACGTGCTGTGTTGTCTGCTACTTTCTTATGGATGAGACAAAAAATATTTGTGAGCATTTAAGATCCTATGCAAATAGTCACAGGATTAGGGGTATTGGCTCCATTGGGCTGGCTGACTTCCAACCTGAGTAATTACATTTTGTTTATCTGCACTCTCTTGATATTATTCATTTTCTATTTTGAATGTATTTTACATTTTGGTTTCTTTTCTCCATGTTAGGTGAAATAATTCCTGTTTCTTTCTCTCACACGTGTCTGCTTGTGTATGTCTGTAGTGTGTGTGTGTGTGTGTGTGTGCGCGCGCGTGCGTGTGCATGCATGTATATGTATATACTAGCCAACTGTCTGTCAAGAATGATGGGGGGAAGTGGGGAGAAAAAGTACTGCCACCCACCACCCCACACTGCCACTGCTCTGCCTCCAGCCCTATGCGCTCCACCTACCCCTCGCTGCTCCACCCTGCGGCACCACCACCTGCCAGGCATGGTGGAGGGGAGGAAGCTTGCATGCAGCAGTTGCAGCCATCAGCCAGCACCCCATGCTACCACCACTGCGTGTCTGGCCATGCACAACCCCCTCCCCTCCCTCCTGGCTGTTCTTAGGGCCTGGTGGTGGCGGTGGCAGGGCGCCACCACCGTGCCCTCCCCTCCCCTCCCCTTCCCTTCTCCACTCCTCCCTGCCGTCTCCCTCTGCCTGCTGGCTTTTGTTGGACCCCATTGGCAACAGCAGTGAGGCCAGCGCTGTGCCGCCAGCACCCCACGCTGCTGCCTCCAAGGAGCAGGGCCCTGGGAGGGGGGGGCAAGGCCATGGTGGCACTCTGCCATCCCAGTCTGTCCCTGCCTTTGCCTCAAGGAGCAAGGCCTTGCCCCCCACACCCCCTCCAGCCCCTCAGTCCCCACTGTCATGGTGCTGTGTTTGTCCGCTGTGTGTGTCTGTCTGTGCAGAGCACTCTGATTGGTTGTTTCAGTCAGCATCGTGATTGGCTGCTGAGACAAGCAATCAGAATGCAGAAAAAGCATTATAGACAGACAGACTAAGGCTTGTATTATATTAGAATGGATATGTGTATAGATATGTGTGTGCGTGTGTGTGTTATATATTTTTTTTTTTTGGGAAGAGTTCCAAAATCCTTTATGCTGGAAAACAGTCCAAAAAAGTAAGATGTTATTAGTCATAAAACTAAGCTATACAGGTAGCAAACCCAAGGTGCAAGAATAATTATTACATATTTATTATTAAGAATTAGTATGTAACTGTGTTTCTAAATGTAAGTTCTGTTCATGTCTTTGAATAATTTCTGTAGGCTTTGTAAAGAAAAATTGCCATTGTTGAAAAAATGTGGCCATGTAATGAATTTTGTGATGTCTGCTAAATGCATTTCCCATCTATAATTAAGGCTGGAAGTTCTGCTGTGAAGCTACTTGAAAGGGAGGTGAGCATCTTAAAAAGAGTGAACCATGAACATATAATACATTTAGAAGAAGTGTTTGAGACTCCAAAGGTAAGGCTTCCTTAATTGCAATATGATGAAAGTTATTAATGCCAAAAATAAATATAACAACAGCATTTCTGTCTACATTTTGAGCCAATTTCTCTTACCTTCTGGTTAACATGTTTCACATATTGGACAGTTTTCACAGTCATTGACTAGAACATTGTGGATACGTTTGTTTTCTGTTTTGGTGCCCAGCCTTTTCATCCCTGAAGCTGGAGGGGCAATGCCAGGTCTGCCTATGGGCTGGATCCAACTCGTGGGCCCAATTAAGGTGCCGGGGGTTGTGCAGCCCCACCCCAATCCATCTGTCCAAGGCAAGGAGGGGGCAGCTAGGTCCCAGTCTGGATGGGGAAGGGGAGGGAGAGGGGGACAAGCAGCCTGGCAGTGATCTGGATGTGCAGAGGTAGGTGCGTGGAGAGGCTCATGGGGGCTGGGGTGGAGAAGAGCAGCCAGGCCCCAATCTGGATGAATGGGGGTAGGGGCAGAAACAGCAGGCCACAATCTGGATGTGTGGGGGGCGGGGACGGGGACGGAGTGGAGTGGCCTCAATCTAGATTCGCGGGAGTGGGGTTGGGGAGGCAAGGCAAACAGGCCTCATCTGGATCTGCAGGGTGGGTGGGGTGGAGTGGCCCTGATTTGGATGTGTGGTGGGGGAGGGCTGGGGAAGCAGCCTGGCCTGACTTGGATGCATTGCGGGTAGGGCCAGCCCTGATCCTGCTGTGTGGCAATGACCAACACAGGGTAGGATCTAGCTGCAGGGAGCTTCTACTTTCTCCCTTTCAGATTGTTAATTTGGAGCCCCCTACTGCTAAATATCTAAGCTTTGGGGATCCCAGTGGGCCAGATGCCATAGCTTCATGGGGTGGAGGTTGAACACTCCTGCTCTGGACCAGAGATGCTCAAACTCTGGCCCACAGGCCGGATGCAGCCAGTGGAGCCATTGCATCTGGCTCGAGGGCTCCCCACATGTCTGGAAGTTTGGCAGTGGGAGAGTGATGGCCATTAATATGGCCACCCTGCCAAATCCCCAAGCCCAATACCTGTGAGGCCCGTCGGAACCAAGCTATGCTCTCCCCCTTGCCCCAACTTCTGGATCAGGACCCAGCCATGTCCCCTTCCCCCATGCAGGGCCGTGTAGGAGTGTTACTATCATGGATCATCATGTTTTTGTTCTGTGTTTGGTCAGTGCACAGCACAATGAGGTCCTGATCCATGACTAGTGCTCCTAGTTAGTACAGTAATAAAAATAATAAGTTTGAAGAGAAATCATTATTTTGGCTCTTTGTTAATATCAGCGGATGTTCCTTGTTATGGAGCTGTGTGAGGATGGAGAACTTAAAGAAATCCTTCACAGGAAAGGACACTTCACAGAGACTGAGACAAGGCACATCATTCAAAGCCTGGCATCAGCAATAGCATATCTTCACAAAAAAGGTAAGGAAGTTAATTGGGTCTGAATGTTAGTGTTCTTTAAAAGCAATTACAATTACTGTTCTGTGTTTCACAGTGTAATTGTGGCCTCACAATCTAGGAGTGAAGCATCTCACTTTAATGCTTTTTGAAACTTTATTTTTTATTCTTTAACTGTTAATGTTTCCTTTTACTACTTTGCTCCAACCTTCTGATAACATTTATTTTTTCTAATTTCATAACTGCTTTGCGTTACATCATTATCTTATTTCAACAGCTAAGTCTATTATAGCAGAGAAAATGACGTGGGACTGGAGTGCTCTTGTCTGTCCTCCACTTAAAATGATGCAGTCAATATCGGCATTTTGATTCACCCTAGGGAAACATTAAAATACTGTACAATCCATGACAGAATTAACCAATTCAGCCAAAAAAAATAGAATTCAGTGTTTTCAGTTTTTCTTTCTCCATTGTAGGAGTGGGAAAGCTTGTATTTGAATTCCATAGAAATTGTTCGTCTCTTTAGTTTCAACTTATTAGCTGAAATAATAAGCAGTTCCTCTGTCTTTATATCAAGAAAAATGTTATATGAAGAATAGCCCCTTCTTTGAATCAAGCATATGTTTGCTAGGCTGAAAAATGGGCAGAAAAAGAGCTCTATAGCAACTGCATAAGAATGCATCTGGGTGCCTGAGGCAGCTAACATGCACAAGGGCAGTGGTGACTTCTGGTTGCTGCTGCTGCCATGATCACAACCATGTGGCTGCAGTGAAAGTAGTTTTTTTTTCATGTCCCCACCTTGCTCCCCATCCCCATCAGCACATGGGACTGTTGCCCCTGTCACTCTGCTGTAGTTATGCCACTGTTCTTCCCTTTTTGCCTATTGGATATTGGGAGAGACTGGGCTTATAAAAATATTTGCAAACGTCGCAAATAATGATAATTAGAGGTGCACCAATCTACTGGTTACCTGTTGGAGTGGCACCAGAAATGACACTGTCGGCTATTGGGGTTTTTTTGGCTGTTGTAGCCGATAATATTTCATAGTTTCTAGGGTCGGAAGGGACCTGAGCAGA